CTTGAGCCCAGGAGTTTAAGACTAGCCTGGGCAACATAGCAAAACCCTTGTCTCTTAAAAATATTATTTTTTAGGCCAGGTGCCAATGGTCAAGTATGTAATCCCAGCATTTTGGAAGGCCAAGGCAGGTATATTACTTGAGGTCAGGAGTTCCAGACCAGCCTGGGCAACATGGTGAAACCCTGTCTCTCCTAAAAATACAAAAAGCCAGGCATGGTGGCAGGTGCCTGTAATCCCAGCTACTCAGGAGGCTGAGGCAGGAGAATTGCTTGAGCCCAGGAGGCAAAGGTTGCAGTGAGTCCAAGATCCTGCCATTGCACTCCAGCCTGGGTGACACAGAATGAGACCCTGACTCAAACAAACAAAAAAATGTAATTAGCCAGGGGTGGGAGCACCCACCTGTGGTCCCAGCTAGTCAGAAAACTGAGGCTACAGTGAGCCATGATCACACCACTGCACTGCAGCCTGGACGACATTGAGACCCCATCTCGAAAAAATTTTTAAAAAACTAAAAATAAAAGGCATCTTATAAGGTATGGGGTCTTGCTCTGTTGCCCAGGCTTGATTCTAACTCCTGGGCTCAAGCAGTCCTCCTATGGCAGGCCATGTCTCACTAACGAAGGCCTCCATAACAACTGTTTCAGTACTGAGTGGTGAAGTTAATATTAAAAGCTAAAAAAAGTCAGTGCCCTTATACAAAGGCTGGAATGTAACTAAAGCCCACCAAGAGTTTTGCCTAGGCCTTTCCTGGACCTTAAAACGTGACAAAATAACAAAGGAATTATTGACCCATTCAGGATTAAACAAGTTTTATTGTAGGTCTGAAGAAACTCCCCCCAGGGCTCCACAAACAAGTTTGTTGGGAGTGGAAGGAACTCTCCAAACCTCTGTGATTTAGCAGGAGGCAAGATAAGGGTAATCACGCCAGCACCTGGACTCATTTAGGTTTTTTTTTTTTTTTTTTTTTTGAGATGAGTCTCGCTCTCTCACCCAGACTGGAGTACAGTGGCATGATCACGGCTCACTGCAAGCTCCACCTCCTGGGTTCATGCCATTCTCCTGCCTCAGCCTCTGGAGTAGCTGGGAATACAGGCGCCCACCACCACGCTCAGCTAATTTGTTGTATTTTTAGTAGCGACGGGGTTTCACTGTGTTAGCCAGGATGGTCTCGAACTCCTGACCTTGTGATCTGCCCGCCTCGGCCTCCCAAAGTGCTGGGATTACAGGCATGAGCCACTGCACCTTCCTGGACCCATTTAGATTAAGTAAATTTACTGAGGTTCCAGAGGAAGGTCTTCAAGATTCAGACCTTATTTATAGATTTTAAAAAGTTAATCACTTATGTCTTTAGATGAATGCACACTTACATGTAGACATATAGCTTAGAAGGTATATAAGCTCTGGAAATCATCGTGATTTTGAGTTGGTCTGGTGATAATTTCCAGGCCTTCTCCCTGTAAACAGTTACAGAAATAAAAAACTCTCTTCCTCCCCAGTTTGTTTGCATCTTGTTATTAAGTCACGAAAAATAGTAGGCCCACCCTCAGTTTGGTCTGAGATCACTCCCGTCTCCGCCTCTGCTTCCCAAGTAGCTGGGCCTACAGGTGCATCAAAAGTGGCTTTTAGAAAATCACTTTAACTGGCTGGGTGCAGTGACTCACACTTGTAATCACAGCACTTTGGGAGGCTGAAGCGGGTGGATCACAAGGTCAGGAGTTCGAGACCAGCCTGGCCAACATGGTGAAACCCTGTCTCTACTAAAAATACTAAAATTAGCCAGGCACGCTAGTGAGCGCCTGTAATCCCAGCTACTTGGGAGGCTGAGGCAGGAGAATTGCTTGTACTTGGGAGGTGGAGGTTGCAGTCAGCCAAGATTGTGCCACTGCACTCTAGCCTGGGCAACAGAGCAAGATTCCATCTCAAAAAAAAAAAAAAAAAATCACTGGAACTTGGGCTCTTTACGAACTGTGGTTCTCAAAAAACCAGGGCCCTCCAGGGTCCCCTGGAAGCTGCAAGCAGTTAACCCCCATTAGCAAGCATGACTTGTAAATTAGAGGTGATAAAGCCTGAAGCCTTGATCTACAATCTATTGAATTATTCCACTGAACCATTTAAATGTAAAATTACACATTAGCACAATAAAGTACTACAGATAACTTACACTTAGGCAGGCATGTATAGGAGAGGTTATTTCTCAAAACTCCCCTTTTTTCTCCTACCATCATACCATTGTTAAGATAATTGCTCACTCTATCTCCTTCTAATGTTTTGTGTATTCCCTATTTAAAATATCACCTTAGCTTATATTTGTGCTTTGCCCTGCCTGGATATATACAGAAGACAGGCTGTGAGAAGAAATTATTTCAAGGAGAAAAAGGATTGGAGGTAAATTGGGCCTAGAACATAGCCTGAGAAGACCCTTGGGCTTATTTCTACAGGGTGTTTCCTTTAAATCTTGAAGCTTAGGCAGTTGTCTTTTTGAAGAGTAACATGCACAATGGCAGGAAAACTTGCCAGCTGCCTTTCTGAAAGTGACATCCAACAGAGACTTCTGGTTGGGACTTGGAAACGACCCAATCAGGACTCAGCTGTTTTCAACTAATGGGGACTACTTTTGAGTTATTTATTTGCATACACAGACTTGATTAAGGTCTGGGAGGAGAACTTTCCCTATTTAAGCCAGACCCACTCTTTGTTCTTTGGAGCACACTTAGTTTACATTGGAGGCTATGTTTCCCCATCTGCAGATCTCCTGCTTTTAGGTTGAGATCTCCGAGACTTTGTTTTCTCCAAGGAGCACATTCACCTGGCTCTATGGGCCCTACGGGGTACACTCACACTTTGTGGAGTACTTTTGCATTTTGCAATGTACTTGTGCTTGGTGGAGTATGCTCACATTGCAAGTTTCGTGGGGACACTCATGCTCTGTTGCACTCAAAGGGATGCCTTTGTCACAGTGCTGTGGGTAACCCATGTTCTAAGGTAATGGTCTCCAACCAGCCACCTGATGGTGCACCAATGA